AAAGAAAAAAAGGAAAAAAAAAAAAAAAAAAGAATGGGATGGTGGGGACTGACTATTAGAAAACATAACTTAGTTTTAATAAGTAACAATCTTTTCAACTTTATGAGAAATTAAAACATTTAGGTTTGAAGGTGATGAGACAAACTTCAAAATTAGACTCAATACATTAAAGAATTCAATACAATTTTATAAGGGAAGAAGGAAGAAAGAAAAGAACACTTCCGAGTCTCAGGAAGAATATATAGTTCAAAGTAGCTAATGTATACGACTGGACACCTAATTGAAATAACAGAGCTACTACTTACTTTGAATACTAAAGATGCTCTATAAATTTTTTCAGTGCCTCACTTAAGGTTTTAACCCTTCCTTGGGAAGCAAGCAAAGAACAACAATCCTAGTTAATAAAATAAAAACATCAAGAGCCTTATCAGTCTGAAGTACAAAAACAGACTACAGCCTGTCCCTTTTACCTCTTAAGGGTACTCTCTGATGAAAAGGAGAGCGAGCTGGCTGTCTGCACGGTACAGTATGATGGCCAGGAGTTGTCCCTGCAACCTTTTCTGCATAACCAGAGAAAAGCACAGGACAGGATAAGCCTCACATGAAAGTTTCTAAACTAGTCAACAATCAAGATCTAACTATATAATAACAAGTATCCACCTTGCAATACAATTGATTTATTGAGCCTTGCTTATAAAAACATTCTAATACTGTAGCATACCAGAATCATCCATCACAACAATAGCTTGCTCTGCTTTATGCTGCAGAGCTAGAAGAGCAGCTTGTCGTCCCTGCAGAGCTCTCAGTTGTTCCTGCTGTTGCAACATCCTTTTTAATAAGTCATGTTGTTTTTTCAAACTTTCTATCTCTTCCATAGATTCCTGCTGAGGATCTCTGGCCTAGAAAATAAGACCAACAACACTTATACCCAACTATTAAAACTCATGTTCGTGTTTCAACTACCAATGGCAAAACATGTACAATAATAAATTAGTATTAAATGTACAACCCTAGATACAGTTTTAATAGACTTAAAAAAAAAAAAGAATAAGAACAGAATGATGACATAAAGATAGCCTGCCATGTTAAGAAAGAGGTAATTTCTCATGGTAAAACACTGTATAAGAAATGGCTTAGCATGAACAAGAATTAACAAAAGGAAAGAACAAGGCATACGAAAGATGGAAAGGCCAGGAGGGCAAAATCACACACGCGCACGCGCACACGCACACGCACACGCGCACACACACACACACACACACACACACAGATTAAACAGGTATCACTTGTAAGGAACAATCAAATTTTTAAAGTTAATCTTAAAACTACTCAAAATGTAACCAACCCAATAAGAAAAAAGAAGGGACAAATTTAAATATAACCCAGAAACAATAAGCTAAATTAACTTAGCTTAAGCTATAAGCTGTATAATTTAGCTATAAGCTAAATTAAGCATGAAATGTATACCATAATGGTATTTTTCATCATTTATTTACCTTTAAGAAAATCTCATATTTTAAAAGTTCAATGATTTTACCTAATATTTACATAAAATATTCCACCTTTGCTACACATAACCAATTTTAAATTCACACTGTTAGGAAATTCTTGCTGGAGTTATGTAAATTTTAAATGAATGATTCCCAACCTCCTCCAAAGTTACTAAAGAGAATAAGAAAGTTCAGTGATTTCTCTGGAAAGTAAAAACACACTGATCTACTTTCCCTATGCAACATGATTCCTGCAGACATTGTGGAGAATAGAGATGGCTCAAGAGAAATCCCTTACCAATACTACGCAAAACCTCTCTTCTCTTTACCTTCCCAAATACAACTCCTTATCAGTATTGTGAATAAGGATGAGTAACTGTGAAAACATTTTACACTGTTACTTGGAAATAAGTAAAATAAGTGAAAAAATTACATGGCAAAGAGTTAAGTAGTAAAAGAAAGTTAAGATCAAATAGAAAGTAGACTACGGTTAGCCTATTTGATGTATACATCCAGAGGAGCATGGTCAACGCCATATATATTGTGAACTATCTCTAGATTTCATTAACACGGGAGAGAAATAACCTACCTGTATCTTGGCAAAGCCACAATTTACTGGAGGTTTTTCTATTGTCTTGAATTTCTAATAAACTAAAGCCCTTTTCAAATTAACTACTGTTTACTCAGTTCTCTGCCATCCTTTATAAGTGAAGTTATTTTGTTAACATTTACATTCATCCTGTCAAAATTCATCTTCTTAGTTCTGGCTTATTTCAAGATTGTTTACATCTCAGGGGAAAAAAAAATGTGAAGGGGTAGGATAACTAGCAATAGTTAGCCCTCTCAGATCTGTTCCAAAATAATTTCATAGTTATTTCACCAAAGTCATTGATTAAATGTAAAAGCAAATCAATGTGAGTACAGATCTCAATAGAATGACTCACAGAAATCTCTCCAGGTTGATAACAATCAATTAAATACTTCTCTAGCAAAGTATAAATGGCAGTTAAAGAAACAATGCAAATAAGAAAAAAGTCATGTAAGGGGAAACAAAACCCTCAAGAATGCATATTTCCACCTAATTTATAATCTTCTTACCTCCCCAAAATAGTTTCGACTAGGCTTACCCTAAAACTACCTAATTTTAAAGGGTTTACTTAGACAATTTACTATTATAGACTTCTACTCTTTAAAAAGCAAACTTTTCAAAAAATTCTTTTAATCCTTGTTAGCCACATTTCTTCGCAAAACTATGATACCCTAACTATTAAAAAATTCTATTTATTAAAGTAAGCACAATTATCTTCAGATTTTTCACTAATACAAAAATGAATTCCCAACAATTTTCAAAATTAGTGAAGTTTTAGTACTGCTTAATCTTTTGCATCCATATAAATAATATTTCAAACTGATACTTTAAAAAGCTGAGCCAAGGGAGAGGGGTGGGGACTACGATGAAATATAAAGTAAGAAACGATAAGAAAATGGAAATAAAGATATCTTGGAATATGAGGAGGCCAAGAACAGGGTGCTTGGAACAAAAATCCAAAAAGGAAGCTAGGACTATATCCATTCTTCAAACATATATTTTTATTTAAACATTTTTTCAGTCACTTTCACCAATTACATTTTTAGTTTACAGAATAAACAACAACTTAGGCACGAAATCCTGAGTTGCATATACATAACAGTCCAATTTCAGGAAACCCTACATCTTCCTTTCCTCTATTCAACTGAGGTTCCCCTAATAATTATTCATGGGTTTAAATATACTTTTTCAGCTTCAGACAATTATGTACTTCAATTTTTTCATATAAAAGGTGAGGGCTATAAGTCCAGAGAAGATAAAGCTGTTATTTATCCAATGTCACAGTTAGAAGTCAGGTTCCTGGGGCATTAGTTTAGTGTTCTTTACATCATATCACCTGCCCCAAAATTATGTGCTTGGGTTCTAAATACAGAAGTATAAAACAGAGTCTCTGAAGAAGCATAGCTGATTCTGGACACAAGGCAAGCTCACATGAAATAACTAGAAATGATGAAAATAACAGCAAAACAAAGGTACATGTTATAAAGAAAGCCTAAAAGTTCTCTAAGAGCTGAGTTTGGGGGGAGGTGAGTGTGGGAAAACAATGAGGGCATGGGTACTAATCGAAGGCTTCTTTTGTAAAATTATGCAAAAATGTCATGTCTATAAAATACTCCATAAAATGGAATCTGTCCAATCATTTCATATCGAGCTGCAACTTACAAGACTGTTTTCAGCACTGAATCTCAGGTAAGACCTCAACTGTTTTTTCTTACTCTTCTAACAGAATTCTAAGGAGGAAATAGAAGTGAGATGGTGAGAATGACAGATTTTGCCCAGCAGAGTGGAAAAAAAAAAAAAAGTCAGATGGTGAGAATTAAGATTTTTTTCCAAAGAAATTAGAATTTTATGAATACAGTACTAACAGAACTACACTAGGATGGCCTTAACAATCCAGAATAAACAGTAAAAATGGAATAAACTCCAGAAAACAAGTGCAAAATTTATTTATAAGGACATTATTCAAATAAACTTAAAAACAGAAAAGTGGTTTTTAAAAGTAAATATAACATCTTAGGGGAAAAAGGGGAACTAGTAGATACTATGTTGTAGTTATTGTCAACTATCATTCAGAAGGCTTAAAGAGAAAAACAAAAAATTCCAAAAGATACCTATTGTATTTCACATTCACTTTCCCTTCTCCAATGCAACTAGTTTTTAAAATAATCAGCTACTTTATTTACTCTTCTGTTGAACTGGGACACCTTTTGCTTAACACTTTATATAAAAGATCCTCATAACTTATTTCAAACTGTGTCCTCTGTGGAAGTTAGAAAAACAAAAAACAAAAAACAAAACTGCAAAATACCTTAAGGTTAAGTTTTGTCATTTTTTAAACAGCCACAAAAAGAAAACAGAGAATAGCTACAAAACAGAAAAGAAAGATTAATCCTAGGGTAATAAACTAGTGATAAAACATATAAAATTAGTCTTGCCTACACGCAATTAGTAAAATAGTACTTTGTTCTTGCCAAAAGGATATAAGCGCTTTTACAAATGCTATTTTTATTCAAACCATTTTAAGTGGAACTGCACAAATAGTTGTGTTTAAACCTAAATTGAATGCCTTTATGCAAATCATGGAAAATTAAAAGAACACTTAAAATAAACATGTAAAAACATTAGCAAACAAGTCAATTAGATAATTAAATATTTTTCTAAAAAAAAGAAAGGGACTTCTAAAGGCAACAAAAATATAAAGCAAAAAAACTATATAAAAGCATTTCACTCTTACAAAGACAGGAAAGTTAATAGCTTTGCTCTATTTTCTTTTTCTTTAATGAATGACTAGAGGAAATGAGACAAAAATTAAAAGTACCACCTTAATTAATGAACACAAATATCAAGAACAAAAGGCAACTGACTGACAGTCAAGCTTTAATAATGCATTATATTTTGAGCCCCTAATAGAAAAAAAAAGAAGCGAATTACATTTCAAATCCTTTGCGAATGTAAATTAAAAACAGCTGCCACACATGATCTATAAAGAGGACAGCATATAATCCAGAGAGGAAAGCCGAGAGAAAAACACTTTCAGCATTTCACTAAAGCAAATTACAGTGTAATAATCATGTGAATAATTTATCTATGTAAGAGTAATTGCAACAACAGAAAAACAAATAAGGAAAAGGAAACATGAACAAAAGAGATGGTCCTTAGAGACTTTCCAAATTAATATTGTGAAGTATACCTTTGAAGGAAATCCATGTTTTCGGCTATATTTCTTATTAGGCCTCAGTTCCCTGTCATTCTGAGGAGGTCTGTCAACTTTCCCTTTTGGATTTGTGGTAACGTCAATGTCTGAAACCTATTCTTGTGAAGGTGAATTCCCTAGTTTGTCCTCAATGCACAGCTGAATTCTCAGACTAAAAGACGCCTCCTTTATTAAATAGTGTAGCATATTAATTTCTTAACACAAACTCCTGTTTAACATACAAGCCAGCTTGTAAACACAGAAAATTTACCAGTCCATCTTTTTTAAAAAAATCAATTCACCTCCCCCAAGTGGCAGTAAACATAAACTTTAAAGTTTCTGTAGACTATACTGTTGCTTAGTGTAATTATCAAATTCTATGCAATTTCTAAGTTATGCAACTGCTAAAGGGCATTTTAGTATTTAATCTGCTACATGATATTAATCAACTTTCACAATGTCATGATGTTACTTATTTTGAAAGAAAGGTCTCATCATGGTGAACACTTTAGATGCTAGTATTTAATTATAATTATCAACTATACCATTTCCCATCCCTCCCCAACAGAATCCCTTTAATCCACACTGCCATAACCCTTCCATTTCTGCTGTAAGGACGAAATTATTCCCAGAACCACTGTAAATAAACAATTTCCCCACAGCAAGATCCTTTCAAACCCTCCAAGTGTATCTCCCATTTAAAATCATGTAAAGAAAGGAAATCCAAATTTCCTCTTTGAATTAGGAAGGGCAGGGAAGAGAAAGGAGGCAGATAAGAAAATATGCACATCAATACTAAAAGGAAACAAACCCTCAAATTCCTAATGCTGACTGGTGTTTTGGAACATACCCCAAAAACAAAAGATATACATGGTTTTCCTCTCAAAAGAAAAGCTTTATTGGTAATCGGTTTTAATAAAGTTTACTACTGCATAATCATAGGCACATCTGTTAAAATAAAAATGTTTAAAAGTACACTAGTTTCAAAACACAGTTCTATGAACTGTTTATTTTACAAATCTTTCCTCAAAGTTCTGTAAATTCCTGATTATTTTTCCAAAAGGCAGTATTTTGATAAATTTCATTTTTCAGAATCAGAAACTATAGTATTTTTCTCCTTGTGAATGAATCACAATGTAAACTCTATCCTGCCCCATTTACTTAGTCTTCATCTCAATTTTTCAGTCATCTGGTTTTGCACAGTACTAGGCTAAAGCCTGAGAAATGAAAAATCCTAATACCCTTAAAATGATTCTTCACAGGTAAATGAACTTAAAAACTTTTCCAATAGATTATATACTATGTAATTACTAATGATACTCTGTACTTACAGCCTTTATAGCGACGAAGAATTTTAACTTTCTCAATGCTTCCTGAAATTAGTAAAGCTGTGCTTAACAAAACAAACTGGAAAAACAATGTTTCTTTAAGTTGAAAATCAGAAATTACTAATTTTCAAATCAACCATTAAAACTATTTTTAATGTTAATAAATAAAACTCTAAAAGTTCCCTGTTTAAGCATAGAAGAATATATACAGCAGTAACAATTTGAGGGTTTCTTCCCCGGAATACACTTTTCATTAAGGCACACCTGTAAAATATCATCTTGAAAAATGGGGTAAAATTTAAATCTTCATTTCCAGCACTTTAATTACCAAAAAGCCGCTTACCGTGGTATCTGAAGCCTCAGACTGCACATCTATGTTTAGCGATGTGCTCTCAGCTACAGAACCAGATCCCACAGCTGAATCTATAGTCCGAACATCCTCCTCCTCATTTTCTCTAGCCTGAAATATTTTAGTGGTATAAATCATACAACTATTAAAAAGGGCAATAAAATGTTATAATGGATGGCACGATTTTTGAAAATATGTTAACTCCTCTGGGTTGGCATTGGAATGTCATTAGTACATGTACACTGACACACTACAAAAATAACTAAATACATTATTTAAAAGGTCCAAAACTTACAAGGATTTTTTGGAGAAACTTCATATATGACTTTTCTTGCTCTTTAAGATGATCTATTAGATGAGTAAGACGCTCAACATTAGCAGATCTTTCATTTTTTTCCACAAGATCTTCCCGCATGGAACTAGCTTTAGTAATATAGTCACGAATTTGAACAAGCCTGCTTACAATCTGCAGGGGAAATGTTGTAAAACTTATTTGCATGAAAGTACACAACATCTAAAATTGAGAATAATTCAATAGCAACAATTTTACTTATTATACTTCTAGTATTATGTGAATTCATACACACAAAAAATGTGAATGCAACCTAGATTTTAAT